TCTCTTTAGATACTTAAGTGACAATTGAATTTATTTTTATAATTGTTTTAATAGCTTTTGTATAATCTTCATTGCTATTATGAGATATAAAATGTATTTATCAAATCTGTAATCATTATGCCAAAAAATCTGAATTACTGTAATATTTTGCACATTGTTAAAACTGTAACTTTAATTGTAAAAAAAAGTTTAAAAAAAAGCTTTAATTATACTGCTCATAAAAACTTCCAACACATACCCATTTATAGATAGCTAGAACTTTGCTGAGCATTTTACCCTTTGTTATGGTTAATGAGAAACATCCCCCATAGGCTTGTGTATTGAACACTTGGTCCCCAGTTGGTGGTGCTGTTTGGGGAGGTTATGGAACTTTAAGAACATGGAACCTTGCAGGAGGAAGCGCATCACTTGGTGCGGGCTGCTGAGAGTTTGTCACCTTGCCCCACTTCCACTTCACTCTTTGTTTCTTGTATAGCAGTTGAGATATGATCTCTCCTTCCTGCTCTTGCTGCCAGACCTTCCCCACCATTATGGATATCTGGCCCTCTGGAATAGTAAGCCTAAATGAACTTTTCTTTAGGTGCCTTTGGTCATGGTATTTTATCACAGCAACAGAAAAGTAACTAATACAACCTTTTAAGTTTCTTCTTTTTCCTTTCTGTAGTGGTGGGAATCAAACCCAGGGCCTTGCACATGCTGTGTAAGCACTCTATCACTAAACTGCATCTCCAGTCCCATCTGTATTTTATCGTCATTGTAATTCTGAAGTAGATACTTTCATTCTTCCAACTGAGGAAATTGTGATTCAGAAAGGTTAAGTGACTTGCCCAAGATTATGGCTAGCGTTTGATTCCATTTCTGTCTAACTTCTAACCCTGTGTGTTTTTCTATATGTCATACTTTCACAATGTCTAGCTATCAGTCATACCTGACTGTAACAGGTGATTGATTGTCTCTAACCATTCTTTTTTTTCCAGTACTGTTCCAGTGTCCTTTGTGTATATATTTTGAATGGAAATATTTGTGTTTGGGGGTGATGAGCCAGCATCTCACAATGTCTAGGCTGGCCTTGAACCCCTGAACCTCCTGCCTGCATCTCCCAGATGTTTGGATTATATGTGTGTACTACCATGTCCAGTAAGGAAGATAATTTTTAAGAGAATCTATAGCAAATAATTGTATTTTTTGTTTTGCTTATACCTTAGCCCACCTCTTTTTTTTTCTATTCAGAGATTCAGTTTGTAGCACTGCTCAAAAATAATGTATTTCTTGGGGCTGGAGAGATGGCTCAGTAGTTAAGAACACTGACTGTTCTTGCATAAGACCCGGGTCTTCTGAAGAAGATCCCAGCACCTACATGGCAGCTAACGACTATCTATAACTCCAGTTCCAGGGAATCTGACAGTCTCTTCTGTTCTCCATGGGCATTGCATGACATGGGTGCACTTACCTACATGCAGGCAATACACGCATACACATAAAATAAAAATAATTTTTTCTGACAGCCTCTTTTGCCCTCCACAGGCATTGCACAACACGGGTGCTCTTACCTACATGCAGGCAATACACGCATACACATAAAATAAAAATAATAAATAAAATATTTTTTTAAGAAATGTATTTTTGGCTGGGCGTGGTAGCATATGCCTTTAATCCCAGCACTTGGGAGGCACAGGCAGGTGGATCTTTCTGAGTTTGAGGCCAGCCTGGTCTACATAGTGAGTTCCAGGACAGCTGGGGCTACAGGAAGACCCTGTCTCAAAAAGACCAAAAAAAAAAAAAATGTATTTCTATATCTTAAGAGAAAAAAATTATGAGCCTCTAATTTTAGATAAAACATTAGGTTTGTTGCAAACCAAGATATTTTGTCATTTGTTAATTTTCTCTTGCCAAATCATGCTTTGTACTTTTCAATGCTTTTTGTCATATTAAAAAACGATGTACTTGTCTACATATATAAATAATAACTGAATGAAAGAAACAAGCCAAGCAAATACTAACTACTGTACTAACTTCTTCCTGGCAGAACTTTACAGAACAGTATGGCAAAGCTACTCTCCGATCTCAGTGTGGACACTGCTTGCTGTAAGTCAGGGAAGAACCTTACCAAATCACTTCTGAATATTTATGATAAACAACTTCAACAGGACCCCACGCCCCCTCACACATCTGTAATGAGCTACCTAAATAAATTAGAAACAAATCACAGTTTCACACATTCAGAACTGCTGCCTACAGTTAAAAATGAGGAAACCATAGAGCCAGACAGACTTTATGAACATGTTCTGCCCTCCCAAAACCCTCCACATGGTAACACTAGGGCCGAAGACAGAGTATCTGAACCTGGAATTGTTCCTACCTTTTTAGAACAGAGTTCTGATACAGAGTGTGAAACCATCACTTTAATAGAAGATGAAAGTAACTTGGATAATACACTTTATATTCCTTTTGCAAGAAGTACTTCTAAAAAACACTCGCCACTTTCTCAGAGACTATCACCTCAGCCAAAGATAAGTATTACTACTGCACAGCTAGTCAGCAACAATGCACTTGCCTCTAAGAGAGAAAATAAACTCTGTGCACCTGTAGTTTCTTCTTCACAAAATGAAGCAGAAGATGAACCTGGAAAACTTGCGAGACCATTTGACACAGAGGACATGCAGCTCCTTAGGAAAATAAAAGAAGCAATTGGTAAGATCCCTGCTGCCACTGAGGATCCCAAGGAACAGGCTGCGCATCACGACTCTTCAGCTTCTTGCAGCCCAGGTGTTCAAGTGAAAGGCAATATTGTCTGTGACAGCAGCTTTTTAAATTCTGACTTGATGTCAGACTGGAGCATTTCTTCTTTTTCAACATTCACATCTCATGATGAACAAGACTTCAGAAATGGTCTGGCAGCATTGGATGCCAACATAGCTAGACTCCAAAAGTCCTTAAGGACTGATCCTCTGGAGAAATGAATTCAGAAGCAAAATGATTGAGTGTTTCTCAGGATTAGAACTTGCCTACATTAATAGTAAATTTTAGGTTTCCTTAGGGAAATAACTTTTTACATTATTAATTATGTATGATATAATAATGAAAAATAAATTTACAGTTGGAATGGTTAAACACTGGAGCTTATAAAAACAAGTTATTTTAAGAAATTAACATTTACAGGGCTAGAGAAATGGCTAAGCAGTTAAGAGCACTGGCTGCTCTTGCAGAGAACCTGGGTTTGATTCCCAGCACCCACATGGCTAACAACCATCCATAACTCCAGTTCCAGAGGATCGACGCCTCTTCTGGCCTCTGCAATCATTGCATGGCACGGGTGCTTACACACATATAGGCAATACACTCACACACATAAAATTAAAATAATAAAACTTTAAAAAAAAAGAAATTAACAATTGCTAAGAGAAGAAAGAAAGCTGTAGGTAACTAAGTAAATATTGTAATGTTTTAATTTAGTGCTTGGCAATTAGGATTGTTTCACTAACATATAACTGCTTGGTTATTGGTACAGGTGGAAAGTATTTCTGGTTGTCTCAAAGGATAATGGGAAGGGAGTCACTGGAAGGAAATATTTAGAGTTTCTTCTCTATTTCAGATATCTGTTATTTGTTTTGTAATGACAGTGTGCTTTCACATTGGATGTTTGTACTACGGACCAATGCTGTTGGTTAGATGTATAAACATTTCTGAGAAAGGGTGCCAGTAAGTTCACCTCATAAAGGTGGATGTTGATTGGACCAAGAAAATATAGATGGCACCCATAATTAACACATGGTCCTTAAATCTTAGGCATTTTATCTCTATCCTGAATGCATGTTTTAAGGCCTTTGAAAAATAGACTGATAAACAACCAAGTTTTACTTTGATAATTCAGTTTTTTAGTAAGAATTATTTGGGGTTTTCTTATTATCTTGGAAAATGATGGAGTTTGTAAATCTTGGCACTAGAAGTAATTCTGCCTTTCTGGACCATATTTTTTTTCATTTGGCTGAGAACATTGTTCTATAAATAACATGAACTATGTTGACCTGTTTGCTTCTCTGTAGCAGCACTTTTTTTTCCTCCTGTCTCACCATGTGAGCCAAGATGAACATGAACTTTCTGTCTTGCTGCTACATCCTCCTGAGTGCTGAGATTATATCTGTGTATGTAATAGGTAAAATTCAGGAGAGAAAAGCCACTCAGGAAGACTCCATGCAGAAATCAAAGCAGAGCTTTATTTCTAGAAGTCACCGGTAGCAGCCCTCTTCGGAAAAAGAGGAAACTGCTGCTCTTCAGGCTGCTGGCTAGGGGTTTTATAGGGGGTTGGGAGTGTGGAAGGTAAAACAATTTAAACAAGCCAAAGGGCTGGGGGCTGGCAGGGGGAGGCAGGTTCTGTTGAAACTGCCCCTTACATCGACCAGGGTCTTGGTCATGGGATGAGGGGGTCCCTTTTCTCTTTTGAAGTTATCAAAGGGGAAGCAGGTAGTGCTGAAACAGCTCTTGCTGCATTCAGGGCTTAGGTCATGGATGCAGGGAGTCTGTTCGTCCTGTCTGCGGATGGTCAGGGTGCTCATTAAGTTCTGTATTTGAACAGAGGACTTTTCTTGCTGCACTGTAAAGAGGGCTGCAGTAGGTCAGACCCTAAAAGTATGTACCAGCATTTCCTAACTGCCCAGTGTCATCTCCCTCCATTAAAGTACATTCTGACTTTTAGTAAGTTCAATCTCATGCTATCACTAACTCTTGGTACAAAGTCACCTGCGAATTATAGTTATATAGTATGTGGACAGCTTTGACAGAGTGTTCTGCTGGTCCCTGGATCTCTGCCTGCTGTGTTTCACATGGTATCATAACCTCTGAAGGATCCATCTAGACCATTTAGTATGTCCACATTTTATAGAAAATCTTTTTAGGTTTTAATGTATTAAATGAATTGTAAAATATTTTCATAGAATTGTTCATTGATACTTTAAATATACTTCAGTGTTCATAAATTAATTTACTTCTTATTTAGGGGTAATAGCCACAGCTCTTCACCATTTAAGTTCAAAAACACAAAATAATGCAAGGAAGAAAATTGTCTTCTTTCTGCTTTCAGTTATGAACTGTTGCTCATAAACAAAAGTAAATTCTTAGGCCAGGCTTGGTGGCACACACCTTTAATCCCAGCAGTTGGGGGCAGGGAGGGTGGAGGCAGGTGGATCTTTGTGAGTTCAAGTCCTGCCTGATCTACATAGAGAGTTCCAGACCAGCTGGAGCTACGGGAGACCCCTGTCTCAAAAAAAAAAAAAAAATTGGGGGGACTCATAAGATGGTTCGGTGAGTAAAGGTGCTTGATGTACAAGCCTGACAACCTGAGTCCAGTCCCTGGAACCCATGTAAAAGTGGAAGGAGAAAACGGACTCCACAGAGTTATCTGCTGACCTTCACATGTACACCATGGCACATATGGCACCCACACACATACATGCATACAATAATAAGATTTTTGAGTAAATGCTTAAATTTTTTGATAATTCTAAAAGATACAGGAAGAAAATAAAGTGTTTGTCTTATTGTATGCTACTAGCACATAGCATTTCTGTGATCCCAGAATGTATAAGGATTTTCCCTTACCAGCAAGCAAGCAATTGGTTCTGTAGACACACCAATCCAATTCAATTCTGATATTGTCCACCTGCAGGTAGAGTCAGAACATACAGGCTGAGAACAGTCTCACCAGACTGACCCCCTCTTCAGATGCCAGTCATAACGCCAAAACTTCTGGCCAGCTGAATTGGGGTTCCCGTGACTGCATACTAGATTGCTAGTGCAGCTCACAGAACTCAAGGAAGCACATTTACTGGTTTATTATAAAAGATATTTTAAAGAATATAAACAAGCAGCCAGAAGAAGAGATAGATAGGGTGATGTCTGGAAGAATTCTAAGTACAGGAGTTTGTGTCCCTGTGAAATCGGTATGTCCCATCCACCAGACCAATGGATCTGTTCTTGTTCACTTTTCTGTAAGCCACATAATCCAGTCTCCTAAAGGCTTTCCCAACCCTGTCCTTTTTGGATTCTATTGAGACCTTTGCATGATTATGACTGAAGCACAGAAAGCTATGTAGGACCCCCCCCCCCAAAAAAAAAGAAACCATTATCTGATGCTTATGGACCTTATGGGCAAAATGAGTGAGGCCTGTGTGTTTAGCGTCATCTTGACTTCTGTCTAGCATTCCTTCCTCCTGGGTTTGGGGACTGAACCAAGAATCTGATCTATTATCGGAGAAAGCAGGTGAGAGGATTAAATTTAGGGGGAAGACTACAGTGCCTCTTTAGTTTCTATGATACCACAGGGGAAAATTTTCACTCTAGTCTGATTCGGGGAGAAGGAGCAGAGCTAAAAAACCAGCCAAAGAAGTACTTAGAGCATATTGTTCCCTTATTTCCACCACCCTTCATATTAGTAATTTTTTCCACAAATCTATACTGATCATTAGTGGTGGAATGATCTGTAGTAGGATTGATGGCTAAGATAGTCAACTCAATCTTTGCCCATTTAAAAAATAAACTAAAATAACAAGATGATGGGAAATGGTATTCTAACTGTATTTTGCTTGAGTGGATGGTAATATGAAGCCACCTCTTCTTTCTATTTATAGAGACCAATACAAATAAAATTTCCACTTGAGGGGAAACCCAAGAATGAACTCTAAAACCAAGCCACAAAGGCAGTAGTTACCAAACAGGAGTGTATGTGGAAGAGACAGAGGATACTGTGGCTCCAGACAGTGAAGCAAGCTGCCAGAGTACAGTTCTCAAGAGGAGATTACACCCAGGGGATGATTCTAAATCATCAGTGTGTAACAATGGGAAGCGTATCCTGGCTGTGGGGGTAGGCAGGGAGTATATACTAAACAAATGCACACAAGAACTATTTCGGTCTGCCTGGTTTAATTGAGAAGTGTTCCCCATAGGTTTTAAGTATTTGAATACTGGGGCTTAGTTGGTTTTGCTGTTTGCTGAGGTTTAGCTGTGGCCTTGCTGGAGGAAGCATGTCTCTGGGGGCAGGCTTTGAGAGTTAATAGTGTTGCCCCCATTTCCAGCTTGCCTTCTCTCTGCTTCCTGTGCCTACTTGAAGATGTGATTTCTCTATGTTTTTTGATGCAAGTATATGTTGTCTTCAGCAATAAGGTCGTACCATCAAGTAACCAAGACCAGTGGCAATAGCCTGTAATGTTTGGGGGTCAATGGGATCCCATTGGTCAACTTCCTAGTAGTGGGTTTTTATTTGCTAGTTGGGGTATTGTCCCTCTCTTATAGGGTAACTCCATTAAACCTTTTTTATATATGTACATGTATATATTTTGGAGAGCTTCTATAGTAATAGGTTTCCATATGGTTTTTTAAAAGGCCTTTAGTGTTAGTTATCCTTCCTCACACTCCTTCCTTTTCCCTACCCACCCATCCCTCACCCCATTTAATCCTTCCTGTACCATTATTTACCTTTTCATATAGCCACTGAGCTCTATTCTTAATCAGGAGCTTCCTCCGTTAGGATTGGCATAGGGGTTGAGACTACTTAAGGGTCAAAAAATTGATATGCACTATCACAGCCATAGCTGTGCCATAACGCTGTTCACACATTAGTGCTGGGCTGGCACTGCCCCTCCTCTGCCCCAAAGATAATGGAGAAAGTAATGATGCACTTAAAACAATGTAGAAGACAGAAGAAAGAAGACTGCCCCCACATCCTTCACCTAACCACTCTATACTGACATTTCCCATATACTCACTCATTGGTACCCAGCGACTTCCTGTGTCTTCCCAAAATTTCTTCCATGTTTTTGTTTGTTTGTATGTTAGTTTATATGTGTGTATGTGTGTGAGTACATGTGTGCCAAGGCACCCTTGTGGAGGTCAGAAGACAACTTGAAGTTGTCAGATTCTCCTTCCACCCTATGGGTCCCAGGGATCAAACTCCAGTTCATAGGCTTGGCTGCAAGTGTCTTTACTCAGTGAACCATCTCGCTGGCCTGTCTTCACGTCTTTACATTCTGTTATCTGTTCATCTGCCTGTCACTTCTGTAGTGTTCCTGTGGCAGGTTTTGAAAGGACACCAGCAACTCTTGTTCATTTGTCATCTTGTCCTCCTCATTAATGTGTAGGATCACTTTTCACTCCCCAAGCTCCCCTCTAGCCAAGGGACTATTTATACTGTTTCCAGTCTATTTCCTATGAATTACCTGTCTATG